GGCAGCCAGCTGTGCCAGAGTGACCGAGCCCCAGGCCGAGAGCACCCCACCCCTGAAGGGGCCCGAGCGAACCCCAAGATCCAGGCCCCGAAAAGCAGCCACCAGGAGTGAGCCGGTGCATACCTGGACACCCATCCCCGGACACCAAGAACCACCAACACACCGATGTCTGAGGGCGTCTGTGATTAACAGTCAGAATTCTGACTTTTTTCTCAGAATTCTGACTTTTTTCTCAGAATTCTGACTTTAATCTGTTGGGCAACTGTTGTGCAACCAGGGTACCACACAGGGATGGCGTGCACGCTCTCGATAGTGGCACGGTAAACTGCAAAAACTCAAAATCTTACCAAGTATATTTCTCTTATTTCTAGTCAAATATCTCATTACACTCAAAATAAGACAAAAGCAGCTACAAAGCAGCGTTCCAGAAAGCTACAGAAAAACTAGATAATTTTCACTTATTTCAACCCAAAATATCTTGTATTAAGTGAAAACAATATGTGGAGGTTGCACTAATGGTTTTGATAATTTTCATTTTGATCTGAGAAAAACTGTAAGGAACCAACAGGTGATCTGAGCTTGGTGCCATGGTACCCTGCTGCAGCCATTACTGTGGTCAGCAGCACTCAGCAGGCCTCGGTGTTTACATGATGAACAGTCAGCTGGGGACCGAAGTGTGAGAAGATAATGTCCTCCAACCCATTATACCAGACAGAGAGACAGGATGGATTCATGCTTTCATGTTGTTCACACCAAATTCTGACCAGAACATCTGGATGTTGCAGCAGAAATCAAAACTCATTAGACCAGAAGCGTCTTTCCAATCGTATGTTTCCCAGGTTTGTTGAGCCTCAGTTTCCTGGTCTTAGCTGTGAGTGGTAACGCTCGGAGGGATCTTCTATTGTTAAGGCTGCTGCTGAAGTGAAGTTATTTGGCTTGCTGTTGCCTTCCTATCACCTCAAAGCAGTCAGGCAATAACAATGACATGTTTATTTCATTTCGCCACATGACAGCTCAAAAAAACCTTATTTAGTTACAGAAGCGTTGGAAACCTTGTTGATCTGCTTATCTGGTCCTTTTTCATCTGATTTCTTAGCAAGGTATTTTTGGCCACAGAAATATGGCTCCCTACATATTTTCTCTTTTTTTCTGACCT